CAGTCAAAGTCAATGGACAGAGAAACGAGGGAGGTGAACTTCCCAAAAGCAGCTGGTGACAAGAGCAGTGGCTGTGCGTACTGAAAAACGTCGCTCTTGATGGAGCTAATGTGCAACCGTGTGATGGACTGTTCTACTTTGGACTTGCTGAGCTCCTCGAGGAACAGATCGACATTGCTGGTCAGGTGGTCGAGATCACCTAGGCATAGCTCTTCGAGCTTCTTGCACTTGCTGAGCAAAAATCGAATCGCCTCAGAAAGGTCGCTGTAAAGATAGGTGAAGCCTCGAGAGCTACGAAGCAACGGAGTGACGGGCACTAGAACCAAAGAGCTCAGGTTGCGACAGTTGGCAAAGGTGCAAAGGCCAGCAGCGGATAGATTGTAGATGGGCACCTCATTCTCAGAGAAGAACTTGATGATCTCAGTCAAGTCAATGACGTTCAGCGTAGAGTTTGGGTCAAAAAAGATCTTCAAACCAGTGAGCAGAGGGGCACACTTTTGGAGGAACGCTTTCAGGTGCTCATTGTTGAACGATTTCTGACCTTGTTTGAATCTTCGCTTTGCTGGGCTGCTGCCATTGCCACCATATGGCTGATTTCGGTTGCGCAGAGTGAAAACGCTGAAACCATACGCCTGTTTACTTTCAGTGTTGTTGCTGTTGTTGTTGTTGTCATTGCTGTTAGCACCACTGTGGTGGTGGTTGACCTTGGCTGGTGGAATGGTGAATTTGTGCGCGCAGAGGTTCACTCGGAAGTTTCGGCATGGGAAGAGCGTCGAGGTGAAGAGGACATTGCGCCAGGAGTGGCAGGTGGAGGAGGCTTTCAGGCGGTGGCTCACATCGAGGTAGGAGTATATGTTGCCTAGTGCCACCAAGGGCAGACTGTTCCACTGGGGAGGGACATCGCTGGACAAGGGCGGGGGATGACGACGGCGATGGTGATGGTGATCAGCACTTTTTGCTGGTTTTTCGCTGCTGCTGGTGCTCACTGGCAAACTGCTTTGGACTTTGAACTTTACGATAGATGATGGTGCTTGCTGTTGTTGTTGGTGGTGTTGAGGGTGGACATCGTCGAGTTTGGTGGTGCTCGACGAGGCCGACATGGGACAGGGGAGGAAAACTAATAAAGAGGTGCTGAAAGAGGTGAAAAATAGTATCTCGTAGTTGTGAACATGTAGAGCAGCTGCAGCAGGTCGAAGCAGCCTGGTCACGAGGACACGACGACGAGGAGGATTGGACACAATCAACAACTCGCGCGAGCCTCGAAGCCAGTGCTCTTCTAGTCTGCCAGAAGTGCAAAACAAGAGGAGAAAACGACACTGCAGGACTCTCACTCTCACTTTTCCTTTACCTCGCTCATATGTTGGTCTCTCCTTTACAGTTACTCTCTTTCTGTTAGAGATCACTGTGTTTGAATCCTCGTTGCAAAAGTTTTCCACTCAATGGTACAATGCAGTGAACAGGACAGTTTGGAGGAACTTTTGGTGGCAGCGACCACCACTACTGAAGTGCGTAGTAGCACACTGTGGCTCTTTACAGCTTTTCCCTTTGAAGTGTGCCGTTGTACAGCAAACGCTGTACAATAGCAGTCCAATGTTGTCCAATGCTGATTTCGATACACACATTTTCTCTTTGCGACACACACACAACACATAGATGTGAAAGATGATGGGGAAATGGGAGCGTGTATGCGCTGGTCTGCGTTTATTGACAAATGAGAACAATGAGAACAATGTGTGTGTGTGTGTTTGCACACCAACTTCTTTTTTTCTTACTTGCTTTTCAAACTGCTGGCACTCAGCCCTCAGGACGACCTTGCCGCCATTAGCTTGTTGCCGCTGCCCAGTCCTGTCCCCACCACCTTCTTTGACGTCCTTAACTCCGAGTCGGCGTAGAACCTGTAGTTGACGGTGTCGGGATTGCAGGCGGAGGCAAATTGGGTGATCTTGCTGCACTTCAGCCCTCGACAGCAGGTGCCCTTGTCCGGGCCACAGGGCTGGCCAATGTCTCGACACATCAGACAGATGTTGACGATGTTGTTGTTTATGTTGCGCACGCCACAGCTGGTGCCCGGACAGCACTGCTTGTCCGGGTGCATGATGTCACAGTGCTGCTCCTGAAGGCGACATTTCCGACCTGAAAGACAAACAGCCAAAACACTTTTTTGTGCATCAAAGTTCCAACACATTTCTTCTTTTTTCACGGGTGAACTTACCTTTTGGAACAAAGTTGCACTCGATGAAGGTGAAAACTAGCATCAGCAGCAGTAAAACTGTAATGAGAAAGACAATACCGTTTCGATTTTGTTGAGGCATTTTTTATTGGCTTTAAATTGGTTTCTTAAAGAACGTTGTTCTTTGAAACACACACTATTGACTGCTCAGTTCTGTCTTTGATCGCGGATGGACAGCGAATGGCTGTCGATCTCCTCTGACCGGGCAATTAAGCANACAAAGTTGCACTCGATGAAGGTGAAAACTAGCATCAGCAGCAGTAAAACCGTAATGAGAAAGACAATACCGTTTCGATTTTGTTGAGGCATTTTTTATTGGCTTTAAATTAATTTTTTAAAAAACGTTTTTCTTTGAAACACACACTATTGACTGCTCAGTTCTGTCTTTGATCGCGGATGAACAGCGAATGGCTGTCGATCTCCGCTGACCGGGCAATTAAGCTTTTTCGGACGCAGCAGCAGTCGGCACCTCGGACTGCCCATAAGTTACCCGAACAACTCTAACTAGTTTGTTCGACCTACATGCACATCAAGTTGCTTTTTTTCTCCACCTTTCTACATCACAGACTAATTGCCATTTCTAATCACGAAACGCACACACATAGGCATATTTTTAGAAAAATATTTTTAAAAAAAGGATGAATTTATTTTCTTAGTTGGTTTAGCAGCAAGTGTTTAACGAAAAGAGAAAGTGTTGTGAAAGCGGAGATTGCCGTTTACATTAGGTCAGTTGCAACTCATGTGCTCAGCGACTGCCAAACATCGAGCTGAGCTTCGAGTCACGAAAGAGGGTCCAGGCGTGTCCACCCGCAGAGGACTTGTGTTCGGAGTAGGAAGCGGAAGCAGTCGATCCGGTGATGGCCTTAAAGCCCAGATCGTAGAGCTTATTGAGCACTCGCACAGGAGCGTCCTCGATGCGAAATGACCAACAGCGACCTCGCGAGTCGTAGCGAGGCTCGGCCTGCAGAAAGAAAGAGAGGAGATTATGCTCATAAAGAAAAACTGATTATTCAACTCAGAAAAAAGCGCACCTGGAAGTAAGCGTCTTTGATCACCGAAAAGGGACACTTCTCGTGCAGATACGGGTCAATGGTGGAGATGGACGTCGGTCCGCGGTGAAAGTTTTCGGTGGAGACGAGCACGTACGCCATTCTGTCTGGGTACAGCTTACTGTAGCTCAGGTCAGCTGTAGTGTCTTGAACCAAAGATGAGGTGGTGTTCTCCGGCGAAGTGGATGAAGCGGATGAAGAAGAGGAGGACGGGGAAGAGGGGCTGAAGTCAAATGAGACACTGCCTAGGTGCACTGATCTAGGCCTGACTCGGTCCCTGCTGTGTCTGCCGCTGCTGGTGTTGGTGGTGCTGGCTGCCAGTTTGGCCGACAACAGCGATCGGCGGGGCTGGTCGTCGCTGCTGCTGAAGGCAGCAATGGTGGCGGCCGCAGCTGAGGTAGAAGATGTGTACGAAGAAGTTATGCCTTAGATATTCACCTGGCTGCTGCTTTTGTCTTTTGTCTTCTCTTCCTTTGTTTGCCACTAGCGAGATGATGTGCTCTTTATATAGACTTTTAGGGTGACACTGAGGAGTCCGTGATCGCGCCAAAAGTAGTGATCACGAGTGATGGTTGAGAGTCTCAATTAAGTGGTCTTCTATTGCCTCTTTTTCGAGATGTCGAGAAGTGAAAGTGGCAAGAAGCTGAAAGCCAAAAAAGAGGTTTAGTCATCATCTTCCTCTGCTTCTTCTTCTGCTTCTAAAAGTGCAGATGTTCACCAGACAATCATTTGACCAATCGGTATCGCAATTAGACGGCAATTAAGCTGTCCCTGTTTGTTATGCCAAACATTGCCAGTTGTCATTTCACCCGTCGCTCATTTTGTCATCTCGCCCACGCGGTGATTGTCCTGTGCTGAAAGGAAATGTTGTTGCCATCACTTTTTGTTTCTATTTCACATCATGTCGTGACCAGAGTGAACGGAGTTCTATCTTTGTCGATGGTCAAGTTCAATGCGAGTTCTGAACCGTGGTTTTACGATTGATTTCCTCTCACGTGGTGGAAGTGTCAGCACCAGAAGAAAAAACCAAACAAAGCTGGTGTTGCGTGGGCGCCATTGTCATGTACCGTGGTGATAATTAAACCCATTCGTCTGTTTATCGACATTCGCAAATTGTTTTAATTTCACAAATTGAAATCTCTGATTTGTATTTGCCACATGGGCTTTGCCCAGCACTGTGGCACTTCCCCATGCCGACATGTAAACAATGGGCCTTGCTACCCAAAGTACTGCCGCAGTACTTGAATAATTTGCATTGAATAAGGAAGAGAGATGCCCCGAATAGTGCCGAGTGCGTCAGTGCCCACCAGCACCATCACTGACGGACGATGTTCCCTGAGCTGAAGAAAACAGGCAAGCAATCACTTCTTGAGCATCAACTCACATCTTGCCAGACAGAAAGAGAGGATAACAAGCTGAAGGACATGATCACGAGCTGATGTTGCCAGCGAGGAAAACAGTAGTGGCAGCATCGACAGCATCACTGAAAGGTCCGCTGCACATCCTCTGGTGTGAAGGAAGATATCGATGGCGATCTTTATTTAGTTGAGGAAAAGTACTGATATTGGTGCTGGTGGTGGTAGTGCCCTGTTTGTAGCAGTTTGCTGATTACCGACTACACAGCCGTACAGTCTCGACGAAGACACACTTGAAAAAGTACGCGCATCAGTACTTTGCGACACTTTTCTTCCTTTATATCCTCAATCTTTTGCTCCAAAAAGATGAAGTACATTACCTTCAATCGACACTACAAAAATGTGAGTTTGTGAATCTGTAAAGGCAAGAACCAAATTACTAGCTTGTCTCCACCTAGGCATTCGCCCATCTCTACCGGCGAGCACTGTCCAGCAGCAGCAACTCAAACACCAACTCAAATTCCAACACAACAACAAAGAGCACATCGACAGCGCAACGAGATGAGTGGCGCAAGCTGGCCACCAAGCAGATGAAGGGAAAAGACCCGGATGGCCTGATCTGGAAGACAAATGAGGGCATCAAACTGAAGCCGGTGTACTTCAATGAGGACCGAGAGGGCACCGATCGGACGGAGCTGCCCGGCAAGTTTCCCTTCACCCGTGGTCCCTACCCGACAATGTACGCCCAGCGACCGTGGACGATTCGCCAGTACGCCGGCTTCAGCTCCGTGGAGGAGAGCAACAAGTTCTACAAGGAGAACATTGCCGCCGGTCAGCAGGGCCTCTCGGTGGCCTTCGACCTAGCCACCCACCGAGGCTATGACAGCGACGACCCGCGGGTGCAGGGCGACGTGGGCATGGCCGGCGTGGCCATCGACTCGGTGGAGGACATGAAGGTCCTCTTCGCAGGCATCAACCTGAAGGACATCAGCGTGTCGATGACCATGAACGGCGCCGTCCTCCCCGTCATGGCCTTCTACATTGTCGCCGCGGAGGAGTCGGGCGTCGAGAAGAAGTACCTCTCGGGGACGATTCAAAATGACATCCTCAAGGAGTTCATGGTGCGGAACACGTACATCTACCCGCCGGAAAGCAGCATGCGCATCATCGGCGACATCTTTGCCTACACCAGCAAGAACATGCCCAAGTTCAACTCGATCTCCATCTCGGGCTACCACATGCAGGAGGCGGGCGCCACCTCGCTCATCGAGATGGCCTACACCATCGCCGACGGGCTGGAGTACTGCCGAACGGGCGTCAAGGCGGGTCTGTCAATTGACGAGTTCGCCCCGCGCCTGTCCTTCTTCTGGGCCATCGGCATGAACTTCTACATGGAAATCGCAAAGATGCGCGCCGCCCGCCGCCTGTGGGCGAACCTGATTCGGAAGAACTTCAACCCAAAGGACGACAAGTCGTGCATGCTGCGGACGCACTGTCAGACCTCAGGGTGGTCGCTCACCG